ACATAGTACACACGGCCACACATCAATCTATACAAAACTAGTTTATCCTGGTGTCGCGTCGCATCATCTTTCCGCACATTTAACGTTCAGTTTATACTGGTTATGTAAAGCTCGATGTGTAGCGGTGTGTACAAAGACTAGAAAAATATTTTGTATATATTTTAATTCCGCTAAGCATCTGAAGGTCAAAATTGGATCGTTAGTTTTTTTATACGAAATCTAGTTAAAAAAAACATTTGATAGACGATAAAATATGAGACTGGTAGTCAAGACAAAATCTTTGTTATAAAACTACTCATAGACCTTTAATTTTGACTTGTTCTTAAGGTGAAACTAAGCAGAAAAATATTACACCATTTATCCGTCCATAAAATACATGTGCTCATTCATTATTATATTCTCACTTTTTAAGTGTGGGAGAGCCATGCTTCGGCATGAATGATCCGTCGCGACCGGAGCGATACCACGGCCTCACAGAAAACCAGCGTGAAACAACGCTTGCGTTGTGTTTCGTCGTGTGAATGAGGTTAACGAAGGCCCAATCACCCCCCTCCTCCCTAATCTCCCTAATCACTGAATCCCCAACAATCCTCAAATTCCTAATCACTTAAAGGCCTCTGATGTTCCAGGTGTCCATGGGCGACGCCGATTGCTTACCATCAGGTGATCCGTCCGCTCGTTTACGGGCTTATCACATTCTACACACAAAATAGAACTCAAAATCGTTCACATAAACACTTGTATTAAAACAAAAGCAACTCTAACCTGACATATAGCATCAGGCCGTCTCTTCATGTGCTCAAAAAACAAATGTCCAAGATGTCTATCAGCAGTCTGCGTCATCATCACACACAAAAAACTAAAAAATACACTTTTGTTATGACTTTCATCAACGAAGAACTATTATATAATAAAATTATATTTCCTTTAGACGCTGGTAGAGGTATTTGGCGCTTAAAATTTTACAAGGAATCCGGTTTATTAAATTCAATGCAATAGTTGATATTTTGAACTTGTGTGGCGAGTTTATATTTAATTAAATGAACTAATACATTTTCCTTGATACAGTATAATACATAGTGATACTTACCGTATAATGTTTTTTTTTATACTAAACCGGTCTATTCTATGATGCCGCTTTAGGTTTTAAATTATCAATGTTTTCCCTTTCGATAAAAGTACATACAGAATTGAACATAAAGTAATTATTTTTAAAGGAATTTTTAGAGGTATTGGTCGATAACCGTTTTCGAGCCGTTGCTTGGTTTTTTTATGGAATAGGAGGCAAACAAGCAGACGGATCACCTTATGGTAAGCGATTAGCGCCGCCCATGGACACCCGCAACACCAGAGGAGTCACAGGTGCGTTGCCGGCCTTTTAAAAAGGAATACGCTCTTTTCTTGACGGTTTGAAGGTCGTATCGGTTCGAAAATACCGCCGACGACAGATCATTCCACAGTATTGCTGTGCTAGGCAGGAAGCTACGTGAGAAGCGCACAGTTGTGGCCTGCAAACAATCTATATGATGGGGATGCATATGCTGTCGTGAGGGTTGATGGCGAAAACAATTCCTCAGAGCACTTCCCGTGATATAAGCGATGGAAAGCTTGGTTTGTAACTTTGTTTACTTATATTTACTAAATCTCTGAAAACGTAGGTCTTGGCCGGACTAGGGTGGAACCACAGAACATATAAAAAAGGCATATATCTTCTTTATTATGTTCTGTGGGTGGAACCGCGGCGATATTGAAAACCTTTTTTTATATGTTTTTTGGCTTACTTACGTAACAATTTGACGTCAACGTTTTGACCTCGACCAGAATCTTCTTTCTTTGTTCTTGTTTTTCAAAATTACGCGGTTAAAAACCGCTGTGGTCTAAAACCTAATTTATGTTTTCATTTGAAATAAAACCACTGGGGTTGACTGGTCTAAAACCTAATTTATGTTTTCATTTGAAATAATACCAATATTTTTTTATTACGTCAATACAAAGACTATTAAATGTTATATTATAGATGCCTAACCTTGGAGTTTATTAGACTAATATCTGTTGCCCGCGACTTCGCGTAGAATATGACTTATTATACTCTTTGGAATATGAGTTTAGGGCATAACTTGCTTTTTGTTTCAAATTGTCAAAATAAAGTAACCTGTTACTCTTTAGTACATTTGCTACCTTTTTTTTAAGAAGGGAAAATCATCGAATGACTTCTCCCGCCTGGTTGAAGCGAGAGGTAGTGTCAGACTCTTACTGACTAAAAACCACCCCGTTCCTACTCCTGCTATCCTGTTAAGTCCTCCGCGGCACATTAGCTACCTGGCAATAAAAGTCCTGTCAAAATCGGTAGCCATTAGCCAGTACAAACAGACAGACAAAAATTAAAAACAATGTTATTTAGGTATATGTATCGTATGCATGTAATAAAGCCGCGGAGAGCCTAACGGGTTACCGGGGCTCCGGCTCGACGTGCAGGAGAAGGAACGGAATGGTTTTTAGTCAGTAAGAGTCTGACACTCCCTCTCGCCTCACCCAGGTGGGAGAAGTCATTCGATGATTTTCGCCCAAAATGCAGTTATTGCAATATTACGAACAGACACTCCAATTTTATTTATCTGTATATAGATGTTTGAAAACTAGTTCTGGTCTATTTTTATTATTTATTTAGAATATTGACCGGATGAATTTGAATAGGTACCTACTTAATAATAGGTATCTAAATAATTTTATCAGCCTCAACGTATAAATCTATTTTAAAAGGATCTTTCTCGAATTTTATGACCTAAGTTTAAGTTATAAAAATGTAACTACGGTACTTACTTACCTTTTTTACCAACCTACTACTTTATCGCCAGTGATGAATTTCGAAAATTGTCTCCCTTTAACATTACATCACGTCTTTTATTCCCGAAGGGTTAGGCTATGTACATTATGCCACTGTACAATGTAACACCCACTTATCACTATTTATGTTATGAGCCCCATGTAATAGGGGCTAAACCTATTGCCATTTACCGAGCACAATTCAAGACTCCGTGCTACTACTGAGATTTTTTTAAACCCAGTATTACTTTGTCCGACTCGGGAATCGAACCCGAGACCCCTTACCCGGCAGTCGCACTTGCGACCACTCGGCCAACGAGGCAGTCAAAATATCAGAATAAAGTAAACAAACTCCACATTACATTTAAATCGTTTATTATTATTAACTTATTTAGAGGTATTATTATTTTGTCTAATAACACAATTCTATCTAACATTATTTACTTCTTAACATAATACATATAACTCAATACTGTGATTGTACATATATGTATACAATATTTGGATAAGATGAAGATCTTTTGGGTGCATACATAGTCCACATACATATACAGTGTGTCCCTGAAGTCAACGATCAAATGGCACCAGGTGATCAGCAAGATTCCTGCAGTTATCAGAAAAATATTCAAAAAAATCCAAGTCAGAAAGTTTTTAAATTACAATGACTTTGTGTTATCCACGAAAAAGTACACCTGTGCCAGTCTTTTGACACTTGTTGCTACAATTCACACCTTTTCGTAGATAACACATAAGTCATTGTAATTTAAAAACTATCTGACTTGGAATTAAAAAAAATTTTCTGATAACTGTAGAAACCTTGCCGATCACCTGTAGGTCTACTCTGATTCGACGAAAAACGAAGTTTCGTTCAAAAGTTCGCAAGTTTCCTACTACGGTTCTCTTTCTTGCGAAACTTCGTTTAAAATTCGTTCGTTAACGAAACTTCGGATTGGCGAACCGGAGTAGGCCTTCTGGTGTCATTTGAGCCAATAGAATACAGAGAATTGAGAAGAAAAAAAAAAGAATTTTTATCCTATAGTAGATCTAGTTAACTTTGATATCAATAATATAACGTACAAAGACCACTATGAGATTTTGTATATTTTATTCGGCTAAGCATCTGAAGGTCAAAATTGGATCGTTAGTTTTATACACAAAAACTAGTTAAAAAAAAACATTTGACAAACGATAAAATATGAGACTGGTAGTCAAGACAAAATCTTTGCTATAAATCCTACTCATAGACCTTTAATTTTCTAGTATTTTCTAGGAGTAGGCCTCCTGGTGTCATTTGATCGTCAACTTCAGGGATACCCAGTATATAAACACGCAGTTCCCACAATTCTCGCTTGCTACATCATAAAAGGAAAAGGACTTAGCAGAAAAAAGTTTCGAATAATTTGAGATCGCTAGTATCGTTCTTGTGGTACCCTGGTACAGTATGACTCAATCAGTTTAAATAGTACCGTCATTATAGACACAATTAAACTGTCAAACACCAAGCGGTCACCGGTGACCGCGGCCTATTGTTCTTTAATTGTGTCTATAAAACCGGTACTCGACGAGTTAAAGAACAATAGGTTGTGTCACCGGTGTCCTCGTGGTGTTTGACAGTTTAAATTAAAAAGAGGAGGTACTATGTTTGGCCGTTTGCTTATTCATGAATACCATAAATACCATATTTCATGGGATATGGCCCGAAATGAGTGATGCAGTCTAAGTCAATATTAGTCCCAGCTGCTACCACAGCAAACTCTTTCTTGCTATACTGTACTTAAAACGAAATAAAACCATTGGATTTTATTTCCTATTTTGCAATTTATATTATATTATTTTGCAATCAAAATAACATAAAAACAGTAACTAGGGTCCGTTATCAATAAAATAATAATCGACATAATATACAATTTACAATCAATTGAAATAACATTTGCTACTTGTACTTTCTGTAATAAATAAATAATCTGAAACTCAAATAATAATTAGTTTAGGCTCCGGAATCGCTTGAAACTGATCGAGTGACCGCGTCGAAAATGAATAGGCCCATACAACTTAATACAGAAATGTTGTAAGTTTTAACAGTATTATATTATAATACATTTCATACATAGCCCAAAAGTTTCAGATGAATACAAATTGGCAAATCATTATATATCTTTCGTGTAGGCAGGAATTAGTTATTCCCTGGGTAGTGCCTGGACTAAAGCCTTCAGCTTTCCTCTTGCGATCTTTCCTGAAGAGGTCAAAGGGATCTGGTCCATGAAGATCACGCCGCCTCGCAGTCTTTGGGAGTCCGATAGTTTGTCTAGAAACGAAAAGAATTCGTTAAAGTATTGGTACAATCTGTATAAGAATGTTTTTGTGGGGGGGGGGGACTGGGATGCCGTCTCCTCCTATTACGAAGCAGTCATGCTAACTAAGCAACCCGCCATCGCGAAGGACACTCCTGGCGTCGAGAATCGCGGGACGATCTCCGGCCACCGTAAGCGAGGGCCTGCGGACGGCAAGCATGGGTGGCTCACAGTCTGACCAGAACTAAACCCGAGCGTACAGCGCGCCGCGTTCCGCGCGCGCCTCAAAGAGCCATCAGACCACCACGGATGGGGCCCAACAGGGCTGATTCCGATTCGGAGTCGCGAAAAACCTAACGGGTTACCGGGGCTCCGGCTCGAAGCGGAGGAGAAGGAACGATGTGGTTTTTAGTCAGTAAGAGTCTGACACTCCCTCCCGCCTCACCCAGGCGGGAGCAGTCATTCGATGATTTTCCCCCCTTAAAAAGGCATTCTCTGACAGTCAACCATAGGAAAGTGCAGAGAAATGAAGCAGTTGATGCGAAGCCAGAACACAATTAAAAAAAGATAACAGAGGAGGTTGAAGTCGGTTTTTTCAAACTAGTCTCTGTTTCTGATCAGACGTATTCTGGATAAAGATCAATTAAAAATATGGGTCGTTAAAGAAGAATAGACTACATACCAGCCACCAGCGTCTTAATCTCGTCAGCAGTAACGTTGGAGCCTGGCCTCCTCATCACGCAGGCGACCACATGTTCTCCATCATCCTCGTGGGGGATACTTGTCACACTGACTTCCTGCACTCCAGGGTGCTCGCGGATTACTGCTTCTATTTCTGGAGGAATTATCTGGAACAGAGATCCAGCATAATAAAATTTAGGACAAGAGAATTTCAAGATGGAGAAGGTTTGAGCTTTAATCACCGCGCTTGCTCATTGGGGGTTGGCGATTTCAAACTTATAATGACAAATTATAAGTCCAGGTTTCCTCACGATGTTTTCCTTCACCGTTTGTCAGTAGCGTCTAAATAAACTTAGAAAGTACATATAACTCGGAAAAAGTCACATTGGTACTTGCCGTTAGTAGGTTTCGAAGCCACACCCGGGCCACCACGACCTTTTTAACTTAATTAATTGTCTTATTATATTTATTGTATAGGTTATTACTTACATGGTACATTCTATATTTGATGAGCATCTTGAGTCTCTCCACGAAGAAGTAGTGTCCTTCTTCATCTCTATACAATATGTCTCCTGTTTTATACCAGCCGTCTTCTGTGAAGGCGCTCGCTGTCTCTTCTGGGTTATTGTAGTAGCCCTGGAAAATATTTAGCTTTTGGTTTGAAAGAAGTCAAGTTAGTTACTTAGGTAAATAGGAAAGCCTGTCATGTCTTAGTAAATATTTGGTACTCCCGCGGTTTCAACTGCTTTGTTCGGCTCCTATTGGTCGTAGTGTAATTTTTAATAGTCTATAGCCTTCCTGGCCTCGTTGGCCGAGTGGTCGTAAGTGCGATTGCCGGGCAAGGGGTCTCGAGTTCGTTTGCCATTCGGGCAAAGAATTACTGGGTTTTTAAAAAATTCTCAGTAATATCACGGAGTCTGGTATTGTGCCCGGTACGGTATATGGCAATAGGCTCACCCTCTATTACATGGGACTCATAACATAAATAGTGAAAAGTGGGTGTGACATTGTGCAGTGGAACTAAGTGCCGTAATGTGCACCTCTGCCTGGTCTTCGGGTATAAAATGCGTGATGTTATGTTATGTTATGTTATAGCCTTCCTCGGTAAATGGATTATCAAACACAAAAAGAATTATCCATTTCGAACCAGTAGTTCTGAAGATTATTAAACGAATTCAAAAAGAAAAGAATGACGTTTTCAGTTTGACCTGTATGTATGTTTGTGCGTGATTATCTCGCGATTGGCTGAACCGATTTTGATGCGGTTTTCAGAAGTGTTTTTTACACTTAGGAATAGTTTTTAGTATATTAATTAACGGACTTCAAAATTTGAGGGGTTTGAAGTCGGTCTTTTAAACATATATAGTTTATAAAAGAATTATTTGGGATAAAGATTCATATTGCCTTCCAAAGATGGAGATTATCCCAGTAGAGGAAGAGTAGAGGAAGTAAAAATAGTCTTAAGTCCAGCAGTTGACAGTCCTTTCATGATGATTATACAGTAAAAACATGACCAATAGCAACATCCCCACATACATATAGGTAACTTTATTTTCAACTGTTCAATCCTCAAGCCGGTTCCTGGTGACCGCTCTCCACTAACTCCATTATAGACCTTATTTCCGATGTTTAGACACTAGTTTTGTATGAAGAAATGGATATTTTCGGTACGATATATCAACGTCATAAGGGAATACCCTACTAAATCTGGCTAAACGTTCGTATAATATTAATTAACTTGTATATAAAACAATTATTGTTTCCTTCCCGTACACTTTAAATAATAACAAAGTTTACTTCAGTAATTTTCCTTAAACAAGCGAAATTCTTAAGAACACACGTCAGTAATACAATATTATTCCGAAGCACATAATATTAATGTTTAAAGTTTTTTTTTTACTACCTTGATCTTTTATTTAAATATCATAATTTATATATCATGTTTAAAGTTATGTATTAAAATACATCCATGAGTATTTTAATACTGACTGCTTCATTGGCCGAGTGGTCGCAAGTGTGACTGCCAGGTAAGGGGTCTCGGGTTCGATTCCCGAATAGGGCAAGGTATTAATGGGTTTTAAAAAAAATCTCAGTAGTAGCACGGAGTCAGGAAATGTGCGTGGTATATGGCAATAGGCTCACCCCTATTACATGGGACTCATAACATAAATAGTGAAAAGTGGGTGTTCATTACATTGTACAATGGCATTGAGTGCCGTGATGTGCACCTCTGCCTATCCTTTCGGGAATAAAAGGTGTGATGTTATGTTATTTATTATATGGACCTCGAATAATACTACGTTAATTTCATTTGTCACCAGCTAGCAATACTCTTCCGAGCAGTGCTCTTTGATAAACCTATTTTTTTACGAATGTTGCCACACTCTAGTATTTCCTCCTATGTCGGGGTGCGTTCACAAATATACAACTGTACATACACGTGACACGCAGACCGAGATCAAAATTTTGTGGATCACACAAAGAAGTTTTGTAATTGGTATAATGCGTCAAGCGTGTTTTTTCATTGTTCTCACATATACGTACAGTATTGAAATATGTATCAGAGACATTGTAGAACATACTTTTTTTAAAAGATTAACGAATGGAGTTTCTTGCTCGTTCTTCTCCACTCTAATCTACATTTTCGAATGAGCAAGGCAGCCCAGCTACCACACCGACCGCGCAGTCAGTTTACACTGCTATGCGAGCAGATTATGCATTATGGCAAACCCCTCAAATGTAGATAAAGGAGACCCATATAATCCAGCAGTAGCTATGGTCTATTATCTCGAGGTCTTAGTGTATGACATATATACAACTTACCGACATACTGGCTCCTTTGGTCCACATCTCTCCTGGCACGTTTGGTTCTATTATCTCTTTACCCGTCTCTGGATCCACCAACTGTAATGAAGAACGTAGTTAGGTGAATAAAATGGGTGATATACTTGTTTGCATATCTGTCTTAGTTTAAAATGGGTTTATACATTTCGGCAGGCCTATAGGTGGGAGCTAGGTGGACTGAGAAGAAACATGCAGCCAGTGGATGCAGGTGACAAGCTGTCGTTCGACGAGGAGGACTAAGGAGGAGGCCTTTGTTTAGCTGAGGAAGTCTTCCGCCAGCTGATATTTATCATCATCAACAGTCTATAAGTGACCACTCCTGACCAAAGGCTTCTTCTCAAACAGAACGTTTCGAACCCGCGTCCGCGTGAGAAGCAGCGAGCTTCTTAAATCTCCGGGCCGCTACGACAATTTATTTTAATTACAACGTTGCAATCATATTAAATTTATACCTTAACTTCAGGCACTCCTGGGCCGGATTTCCCGCAGTTACCCAGTGGTCCATTCGGGCAGGCTATGAGTATGGGTCCTAAGTTCTCAGTCTGACCATACATCTCCATTACAGGGACTCCCGGTCGAACTCGTTTCTGGAAGTTATTTAAATTATGTTATGTTTTATTTATACTAGGAAGAGAAAGTATTAAAAATTGGTTGCCTGTATAGTCGGTATACGGGCGAAAGTTTTACGTCGACTTTGAGTGGTAAAATAATTTTACTGTGAATATTCATTCGTATTGTAGGAAGAAGGATGAAATAATGAAGCGCAAGACATGAACCGGTATGTATGCCTATCTCTCTCACTCTCTCTCTCTCTCGCTCTGGCTCTCTCGCTCTTAGGCGGGCTAACTGTGCTCGAGTGGAAGGGACGCGTGCCTTTCACTTTTTATGTCTGTCTCTCTCGCTCTTAGGCGGGCTAACCATGCCCGAGTGGAAAGGACGCGTGCCTCTCACTCGCTCTTATTGTGAGCGCATAACGTGAGCGGAGCGTAACGCAGTTTCTTGAAGTGTCACCCGGCAAACCAATTTATAAGACGTTGTCACGTCAAAATGATAATTGACCTACATACACATAGATCGTGTTGTTTGCTTATAGATCGGTACAGAATGGTCTTCCTGTGTTTTTTGCTTATAGTTAAGCCCTTCCTACATTATACCTATAGGTACACTTAAACCTTACTCAAATATCGCATAAAATTAATTCAGGATTCCAATTAGTTCAAATTATTATTTAACTTGTTAAAAATTTCATCAGTTCATTTCGATTAGTTAAAATTAGTTCAGCTGTTGTTGATTTTATCACGAATAGGCAGACAGGTGTAGACGTTTTGTTTTACATCTTTATAATATTAACCGCCACGTTGGTCACTGCCACTGGTGAAGTGATGACGGATGCTTAGCAAAAGATTCTTGCCTTGAGCAATTTTCTGTCGGCAGTCATTTTTTTAAAGGGGGAAAATCATCGAATGACTGCTCCCGCCTGGGCGAGGCGGGAGGGAGTGTCCGACTCTTACTGACTAAAAACCACCCCGTTCCTTCTTTTGCACGTCGAGCCGGAGCCCTGGTTACCCGTTAGGTTCTCCGCGACTCCGAATCGGCAGCGGCCCTGTTGGGCCCCATCTGTGGTGGTCTGATGGCTCTTTGAGGCGCGCGCGGAACGCGACGAGCCGTACGCTCGGGTAGTCAATAGGACGTTTAGCAAAAGATTTGCCTACTACAGTTTTCTATCGGCAGACAATGGCTTAAGTTATCTTTTGATTACCTACTCTTTGAAATAATTTCATCTGCGCCTTTGTATGATCAACACACTTTGTTATGAAACGCAGTTATCAACAACGAAATCGTTTTATTTACCTACAATTATATTTCATGGCAATCAAATATTGCTAATTTGTACTTACTTTTATTTCAACGTGGACATCCTTGTGTACTTTCCCTCCGGACAGCACTACTTGACTGAAGCAGGAGAAGTCACATTTCTTCTCGCTCTTCACCAAAGCTGTTGCTATGATTGGACTCGTGAATATTGATACTGGCTGGAAAAGGAAATATAAGTAACGTTATTAGTTTCCACTAGCGGTTGTACCTTTTTTTTGAGGGGGAAAATGACTTCTTCCACCTTGGGTTACGCGAGAGGGAGTGTCAGACTCTTACTGACTAAAAACCACCCCGTTCCTTCTCCTGCTTTTCGAGCCGGAGCTCCGGTAACCCGTTAGGCCTTCTGTGGCTCCGTAAGCAGGTAGCCCTGAGGTAATAAATAGCCTACATGTTATTTCAGATTATAATACACCCCTGTTCCAAATTTAATCAACTTTCGTTTTTATAATAATAGTAGGATTATCTAAAAATGCCCCATATTTCCAAAGGAGTCTAGGGAGAGGTGCACCACGTGATGAATCACTTTAACCTGTTGAAATACCATCCCCTAAAGTTCATACAAAAGTACATAGTATCTAAACATCGAACTTGAATTTTCTCAGTCGTTGTGGTACTTAGGACAACTTAACCAACAAAGCAGTTATGTTAAAAAACTGACGAAAATATATGTTTAGTGATCGCTGTGTTCCGACAAGTTCAAACGATATGATGAGGCATTGAACTCATTTGTCATACAAATGCTTATTACAGTCGTTAGGACATTACGTGTACAGCGTACAAGTTTGTACTGAAGAGATGAATAAAAAAACAAACAAAAATAATCTGCGTATGTAGGTACTTATGTTAGTAGTTATATATTACTTTTTTAATAAAAACACAACAGGAATAAAGTTTGATGCACTTTTTTTCGTCAATAACAATTTTCGCAGTCATCTACTGTTACTCAACTAGTTTCAAGGTGCACTAGGGGCCTATAATCGTTAGTAGTATGCTTTCCAACGGGTGCTCGCCGCCGCTGTAGCGAGCATTTAATATTGCAAAACCAATTGTCCTAAAAACAAAATGGAATTACCTTATACTTATTGATCATATCAATAACGTGTTCAGTGGTGGGTGTGTTCGAGGTCTGGAGTTTGGTCTGCTGCAGCAGAGGCATCGAGATCGCGTTGAAGGTACCTGACACCCACTGCACAGGAGACAGGTTTATACCCATCTTGTTCTCGCCATTACGTCTAAATGGACAAAGGGAATTTAAACATTGAATAATTTATAGCTTTATCACAATAGTAGTACTACTAGTACTTAGGCGATGGTAGGCATGTAAATATAACCGATAGTGAAAATTGTAGAGAAGATTGTGGAGAAGAGCCATTCTTCGGCACGAATGGGCCGGGTCGACCGGAGCAATACCACAGCCTCACAAAAAATGGACCTAAAACAACGATTCCGCTGTGTTTCGTCATGTGAATGAGGTTACCGGAGGCCCAATTACCCCTCCCCTTCCTTCTCCAATCGTCCTAATCCCTGAATCCCCAACAACCTCAAATTCCTAATCGCCAAAAGACCGGGAACGCACTTGTAACGCCTCTGGTGTTCCGGATGTCCATAAGCGACTCCGAATGCTTACCATCAGGTGATCCGTCTGCTCGTTTACAGGCTTATCCCATGAAAAAAACAAACAAATAAAAATAACAAAAAGGAGACTATGTAGTACGGTATAAGCAAATGTGAAGAATTTTATTTTATTTATTTTTAGCCATGGTCATCCCACTGCTGGGCAAAGGCCTCCCTACCTTCCTTCTACTCATCTCTTCCTAAAGCTTTCTGTGGCCAATCCTTTTCATAGGCGTCAAGCAATGAAGAATCTAATTTTAATTTGTAAGTCTTCTTTTTAGCAGTGATCACCTCACTGCAGGACAGAAGCCTTCCTTTGGATTGGCTCTGGTAAGTTTTGCGCAGGAGTGAAAGCCCTCCTTGATAGGTAATTTAAATAATTGAAATGTTAATGGACAAGAGAGAAGACAAATTGGTACTCACTCAGTAAGGTGCTCTGAGATGGTCGAGAACAGTTTGCGAAGCAGTTCTAGCTTCCTCAGGAACACGGTGTGGGTGAAGGCAGCTAGCTTGATGACTCCTGACGTACCCCCCGTACTGATCAGCCACATGTTTACTTTGTTTCTATCAAATATTGTTGGTCTGCAAGAGAGGGAATCAAAGTAAAACCATGAAAGGATCACGAGAAAGAGAGAATAAATAACATGTTTATTATTTGCTAAATGTAGCTATGATTGTTATCTTCTGGTAGGTACTACGTAATTTATTGTAGTGCTAAAAATTTTGCTATCGGAAATCCCGTATAAAACTTACGTATTTTGAATGTCCCGAGAATCGAACTCGAGACGTCCCGTGAGAATTCCGACTTTGAGTGTCTCAAAATTTCATCTTCTTCTTTTCAGTGTGGTAGTGGTGTCTAAGTGAGTGAGGTTACCGGAGGCCCAATTACCCCCCAATCTCCCCAATCCCTGTATCCTCAACAATCCTTAAATTCGTAATCCCCAAAAGGCCGGTAACGCACTTGTAACGCATCTGGTGTTCCAGGTATCCATGGGCAACGCCGTTTGCTTACCACCAAGTGATCCAACTTCTCGTTTACGGTTTATCCAAAAAAAAATAACTTTATACTTGTATAATTCAAGCGTGGAAGTATAGGTAAGTACAGTAAATGATAAAATTGATCATTAGCTGTAAATCGACTACAAATTAACTAAGTATGTAGATGTGCTCGATGTGTAGCGGTGTACACATCGAGCTTTACATAACCAGTATAAACTGAAAGTTAAATGTGCGGAAAGATGATGCGACGCGACACCAGGATAAACTGGTTTTGTATAGATTGATGTGTGGCCGTGTGTACAAACAAACAAAATCCTTACAGAAACTCCTCCTGATCATCTTTGTCATCGTATTTCTCGATGAAGTTGGCCAGGGACTTTTTTCCCTCATCGAAGCAGATGACCTCCGTGTTCAGCTCCAACTCTTCCACAATCCTCTCATGCGTCTCCAATAGTTCTTTCTGACAGAATGCTATTCTTGGCTTCGCTATCTTGAATAAGGTCTTCAGTTCCGCTGTAAACAAAATTATTGCTTGTAAATGGTATTCAGACACGCTTACATGGCAGAAATCTGGTTCATTTTACAAGTTATTACAAGGTATAGTTAAATAGGAAATAATTGGAATTAGTGCCTTTTTTGATGATGGGGGGAAAACCTTCAAAAGAATTGTTCGCTTAGATTGTTGGCGAGAAAGACTAGGGGATGAAAGATTTTTATTTCAGAAAACCATCCCGGTGGCCATCCTTCGCACCTGTAAAGACCATCAGATCCTCTAATAGAACTGAAATTAGTGCCTGGTAGCTTAGGCTAGGCTTACGGGATATAATATCTGATAAAAAAATTCTGTATGTTGGTCAAGAGATCTAGAAGTCGATTCCTGACGAAGTTTTCTTTGATTATCACCAGTTATGTAACCCTTAGTACCTACGAAGAGTACAGTTGTATCTGGTGAAGGTACCAATAGGTTCGAATTTAACAAAACTTCTGACTTTACGGTTAGCGTGGTGGCTGGGCAGCTGGCTGCCGCGCAACGTGTAGCGGATTCGACTCTCGCACGGTCTTTGTTTGAGCCACAAATTGTTGTGTCTGGGTGTCATGTGTAGGTATGTGAACTTGTATGTTTGTAAACGCACCCATGACACAGGAGAAATCCTAGTGTAAGGTAACTTTTTTTTAAAAACAGAGCAAATCTTTAGTTCGATAATTAGTCCATGGCTCATGGGATAACTAGATATTATTTATCCAATATGATAAGCATCATGGAGCGTAGATAAATCCAATAAATCGATAACCATAGATGAACCATTGGTCTCGCTGTGGAACTATGAATAGAATAGGCGCAACAAAACCAATCATTCATCTAAGTCGAATCCCATGAAAATCAGACCAGCTATTCTTTAGCATTAAATTGTGTACGTACCTAACCTATTACGTCTAATAAGCAGTTATATTTAATAACTGTACGCGTGATTTATTCCGCGTGGAAAACATAGCCTAAGTTACTCCATAGTACATTACCTAACTTTTTTTTTTGTTGACCTGGGTAACCTTCCATAGGCGCCTAGCTTTTTGGCGAAAAAGACTAGGTGGGATTTTTACCTCACTGAAACCTCTGCGGTGGTCACCATCCGCACTTGTAGGAGGCACCGGGTCCTCTTAACTCGTCGAGTACCGTATTTATAGACACAATTAAAGAACAATAGGTTGCGGTCACCGGTGACCGCTTGGTGTTTGACAGTTTAATAGACCAACTCCGGAGCCCCCACAGTGCAACGCCTGTAACGGCACCTCCCTATGGAGACCTGTATGTGTCTTCCCTAAAGCCTCTCTGTGTCCTTGAGGTCATTAGGTGAGCGCCTAGATTCCCCACTCTATGCGACCATGACCCTGTACATTACCTACCTGCCAATTTCAGATTAACAACACAACAGCCATTTCAAAGATAAACCAGAATTAACAGACAGTCAACAATTTTAAACTGTCAAACACCAAGCGGTCACCGGTGACCGTAACCTATTGTTCTTTAATTGTGTCTATAAATACGGTACTCGACGAGTTAATACAATGTTTTTTGGTATGTATATCTGTCGTATGTATATCAATCTTAATCTTATCTATTTAGTATAAATATAATAAAATCATAGGAAAGTGAAAACTGTTTATTGAATTTTTTTTAAAGAATGATTGGGCCGTGATCTACTGTCGATACCGAAACAAAAATATGGTTTTTGGAATTTTTGTCTGTTTGTCTGTATGTCTGTATGTATGACCGGGATGAACTCAAAAAGTGCTAGATGGATTTACTTGAAAATTTGCATGAACATTACTAACACGTCAGGTCAACATATAGGCTACAAATTATCATGCAATAAACTACGGGGGAGGAGCTGTGAATCACTATTCCACGCGGACAAAGTCGCGGGCTCAGCTAGTTCATAAATATGCATGTAAGTAGTAAAAAGAGGTTATTTCAAATATTACAAACAGACACTCCAACTTTGACTGCCTCGTTGGCCGAGTGGTCGCAAGTGCGACTGCCGGGAAAGGGGTCTCGGGTTCGATTCCCGGGTCGGGCAAAGTATTACTGGGTTTTTAAAAATTCTCAGTCGTAGCACGGAGTCTGGAATTGTGCCCGGTATATGGCAGTAGGTTCACCCTCTATTACATGGGACTCATAACATAAATAGTGAAAAGTGGGTGTTACATTGTACAGTGGAATAATGTGCACCTCTGCCTACCCCTTCGGGGATAAAAGGCGTGATGTTATGTTATGTTACACTCCAACTTTATTTGTATATATATGTTTAGATAACTGGTTTAGTGACGTCTACCTCACGACTAACCTTATGATGTATTTTTCCGGTTGCTCAAATTATAGCACCTATATATATATAAGTAGGTACAAGCGTACTTGAGTATATGTATCTTCGACATTGGACTTTGAACCTCGGTGACTTACCTGCCAACGGTAGTTTATAACCACTTTGAGCGAACTTCTATAAATAGCACATCATTTTTGCGTACAATCTAGTGTCTAATGAATCTTTGTCGTTTTTGTCTATGTATTGTTAAAACTTTAATGTTTTTTTTATAGCATAAGCCGGTTAAACGAGCAGACGGATCACCTGATTGTAAGCAATCGGCGCCGCCCATGAACACTCGAAACACCAAGAAGTTTTTTTATTTAATAAACATTAGCCCTCACTAGGAATTTCTCTTGTGTCGTGGCGTAGGTGAGTTTATAAACATGCAAGGTCATATACATGACACGCAGACCCGGAACATTAATGTGGATTCAAAGAGTGGCTCCGTACGAGAATGGAACCGTTGCGAGGCAGCCAGTTGTCCAATAACCGCACCAACCGTGCTATCAATTGTTTGTGGTGATGATGGATTAAAAGATGATGATCATATGTGGATTAATCTCTTAATGCTAACCGCATTGTCACAGAGTCCCTATCTGGAACTATTACTGGCACGGTAATATTTTTTTTTTTATTTGGTGGGCCGACGTTTGATCTCTATCTCGCCTGGTGGTAAGCGATGATGCGGTCAACGATGGAGCGCGTCGTCCCATAAGCAAACTATTCACTCGGGCCTTGAAGACACCCAGGAAATACAGACTCTGGCAAAGAATTCCACTCCTTAGCAGTACGCACAAGGAAAAATGTAAAATATTTCTCAATGATCCGGTACATAGTTAATTAACATTTTTTTCTAGGTGCAAATGATCAGATGAATGCAGTAGGGAATCATTATGGAAGTAAAACTACCAAAATCAACTGATCATCGGTGAACAGGCCCTAACTCATTCTGCAACAAGCTACAAGCAACTTTATACTCACTGTACTTAAACATAGGGTCTACTCCAGCAATAGGCATGCCGGTCATCAGAGCTGAGTAGTACGGTATGTGCAGATCCAAATGGTTCCTTCCTCCCAAAGCCAGGACATCTCCAGGTTTCACTCCCAGTTTTTTGAAGCATCTTGCTAATTGTATTGACCGGGCTAGTACTGCTGCATTTGTCTCGCTCTCTCCTGTGGCTGCGTCTATCTGATGAACAGAGAAAGTAATTAATGTAATGCGAAGACTGACATATCGTCTCAGAAAAAAATTAATGTGTGCTGAAAATGGTGAACTGTATGGTAGAGGGATCAACTGATGGCAAGCAATCGGCGTCGCCCATGGACACCTGGAGCAACAGAGGCGTTACAAGTGCGTTACCGGCCATTTGGGGTTTAGGAGTTTGAGGATCGTTGGGAATTCAGGGATTGGGGAGATTGGGGAAGGGGAGGGTCGGGCAAAGTATCACTGGTTTTTTAATTCTCAGTAGTAACACGGAGTCTGGAATTGTGCCCGGTATATGGCAGTAGGCTCACCCCCTATTACATGGGACTCATAACATAAATAGTGAAAAGTGGGTGTTATATTGTACAATGGCATAATGTGCACCTCTGCCTGCCTCTTCGGGGAAAAAAGGCGTGATGTTATGTTATGTAGATATCTTCCTAGGTACACCAGGTACTGTAGGTAGTAATCTAGTACTACGGTACTACTACTATTGTTTACTAGTACCTAAGTAGGCATTGGATGAATGAATTGTATGACTTTATGACTTTACGACTTCCGGACATCGGAGTCGATAACTGGCACAATTGTACAATTGATTCATTCGTTTATTTCCATTTTCAACCAGAAGGTCAGCATCGAAAGATTTATGAATGAATCATTTCAGTTCTTATCTTAGAAGAATGGAGATTTTCCAATAAAGTGTTAGATTTCTTTTTTGCGAGTAGCTGTTAAGTTGAATGAGATCTCGGTACACTGAACCGGGAAATTGCAGGTGGCTCTTATCAAGAGGATTGTCCGATTGTAATAAAATGCCCGTTATATAGAACACTACTTAATAGTTGAATAATAATGAGCTGATAATTCCTCGAAAACTTCTCCATATTTTTTTATGGCATAACCCGGTAAACGAGCAGACGGATCACCTGATGGTAAGCAATCGGCGTCGCCCATGGACACCTGGAACATCAGAGGCGTTACAAGTGCGTTACCGGCCTTTTGGGAATTAAGAGTTTGAGGATCGTTGGGGATGCAGGAATTGGGGATATTGTGGAAGGGGAGGGTAATTCCTGGCCTCCGGTAACCTAACTCACACGACGAAACACAACGCAAGCGTTGCTTCACGTCGGTTTTCTGTGAGGCCGTGGTATCACTCTGGTCGAGCCGGCCCATTCGTGCCGAAGCATAGCTCTCCCACACTTATACTTCTATGAATTTCTATTATATTTTTAAATCACACACTTCTAAGAATTAATCAAGTTTATAGACTACTTTTTACCTACAATGAGACTAAACAGTACCGGTTAATAGATTCTTAATACTCCTGACAGCATTAATAGGCAGCCGCAGTAAGACTGTGTTTCAGGGACCCCTAGAAAACATAATTATGATGAATCTTCACCAGGTTGGCGATATTTTAAAGAACTGAGTTAGAAGTAGGTACTTTTAAAACCGACGAGCATGTATGAAAAGACTGATGACTGTTGATGAAGCGAAAGAGGTATGTAAGAATTTTAGCAATTGGCGTTCCATAGTCTCTGCATGGGGGTCCATCGGAGACAGACGTGAGTATATGTATGTATGTATGAAGCTTGAGAAGTTTGTTCCCTATTTCAGAAAGAGCTATAAAAATCCACTACCTACTACCTACATCATTAACGTTAATGTTATTGCCTTTTTTTCTTTTTTAAAGTGTGGAAATCCTCATGGTTTTATATACCCTTGGTCTAGAGACGATTTGCTTCAGACAGCAGAAGCCTTAGTACCAGTTGGTTTTACGTTTAACCCGTCGAGCGTCTGCGTTCCTTATGATCCAACGGGTGCACACGTGACATTTGGAGAAAGAAAGAAAATACATTTATTTACCCATTGGCACACGAAAACAACAATAGAAATAAAAAATACAGTCAAAATAAAAACAAAACATTAATAATAGATTTTATAAAAGAGAAAGCAGCATGGAGCATTCTTTCTTATGATCCACCGGGTGCTCATAAGGACGCTCGAGGGGTTAAAGTAATCGTAACGAATACGCGTTCGGCGCTGTGATTGGCCGGATCCAATGGACCAACCAATCAGAGCGCCGGACGATTTCGTTTCGATTACTCAAACTCGTACTAAGGCCTGGTTATGTCGGTCTCTTACCGACTAAAACCAACACATTCAGTCCCTGAAAACAATGCGAGAGTACTCGAATGAACGAACTCACCTACGCGGCCTTCCTACATCATTAAAGGCAATTTAGATTATCGAATTATCTCCTTGATACCTAACACGTGTGGGTAATTTTAGTGATATAGTTTATAGTGTAGTAATAGTAATATAGTGGAGAGCGCAATAATCCTTCGATAAAGGTGGAGATGTAATATCAATGTCTGGGGCTCTGGGCGGCAATAATGATATGAGACTACGATTTTAAGTTATATATAGAATGTTAATGAAGTAGGACATTAATATTAACATTTTTGACGTAAATACTGACATTATTGATGAACCTAAGAGACGACTTGGTACTGAGTAGTCGTGCTCAATCATCATCTTCAACAACAGCCTATAAATGCCCACTACTGAGCAAATCCTCTTCTATACAGAGAAGGTTTGAGTTGAGTAGTACTAGTACTCCAGAGGTTAACCCATGGTATGCCGGGAGCGTAGATATACGCGATACAAAATGTGTTTTCTAATGTCTCATATAAGAGTAATTCCACACTTTAGCAATACGCACAAGGAAGCTTGAAGCGAAGCGCTTCAGCCAAATATGTCTAGCCGTTCTCAAGTTATGGCGTGACAATGGGAAACGGGCTTCATATAGATAGAAGAAGAATATAATATGGTGGAGATAGTGGCAAATCCTCTTTTGTAGGTAAGTAGAGGATGTCAATATCTGAACCGCATTGTATTGAGTATTAACAATACAACAATTATATGCACTACGTACACGCGACGCTGAGATTAGCAATTATCTGTATAACTGACTGCAGAGGAAATGTCCAATTGAGACGTTTCCTAAGGACTCATACACAAAATTGCGATGCGGCATCGCATCGCAAAAATGTGTGAGTTCCCTCTACGCATCGCAAGAACTTGCGAATTGATTCGCATCCCGCATCGAAATGCGGTTAGTACGGTTGCCGGTCGTCGAAGGAATGGTCACGCTGGGAGACGTCTTGTCCCACGAAATCGCATCGCAGCAATTAGCTTCGTAATTTTTTGGGTTGCAAATTCGCATCGCATAGCATCGCAGTTTTGTGTACGAGTCCTGAGTCCTAGGTGTCTATTTCTAGTTTCTATCAAATCATAAATCGAAATTGAAACCAATTTTAAGAATGATTTTAAACTGTCAAACACCAAGCGGTCACCGGTGACCGCGACCTATTGTTCTTTAATTGTGTCTATAAAACCGGTACTCGACGAGTTAACTATGCATCTGTTTAGAAATCGCCGTTTAACTAGTAGGTTGTATCTCCCCGTTCCTCCCTCTCGTCTAACCCAAGGCGGGAGAAGTCATTAGATGACTTTCCCTCCACAAAATAAAAATTGCAGTTACCTAGAGAGCACTGCTGTCTGATCCTTGATATATGTGCAATGCAGTCCCTTAACCCTTTGAGTACCGTCATTATAGACACAATTAAAGAACAATAGGCTGCGGTCACCGGTGTCCTCGCGGTGTTTGACAATTCAATTGACTCTTATGACGTCACGGTTGGTGCGAGGCTGGGCAATCGGCTGCCGCGCAACGCGTCGCGGTTGCGATTCCCGCACGGTGCAACTCTTTGTGTGTGATCCACAATTTGTGGTTTCGGGTCTGGGTGTCATGTGTACCTATGTGTACATATGAGCGGTATGTTTGTAAACGCACCCATGACACTAGATAAAATCCGAGTGGGGGCAACGTTTTATTAAAAAAAAGGAGTCTTAGGAGACCTGTGTGAATAATAATAGCTACCAGTTTCTCAGCCGTCACCAGACGGCTTTTATGCAAGATTTTATAGCCCCTACTATATCGCAAACAAAGTGTACTTTCCATAATAAAACAATATAGGTACAATAAATATAAGAGCAATAACCTTAGAAAAACAATATACATTTAACAAAGAACACTGTCACCTATATGTGTTATAATTGCTAAACACAATGTTTATATCTGATATTGAAGTTGTACTCTATCGAAGATAATGCACATGACATTGTAATTAATCTATTTTTATCAGCTGATAATATAATATCACGCCTTTTTATCCTCGAAGGGGCAGAGGTGCACATTACTGCACTTATGACACTGTACAATGTAACATCCACTTTTCACTATTTATGTTATGAATCCCAAGTAACAGGGGGTGAGCCTATTGCACTATAACGGGCACAATTTCAGACTCCGTACTACTACTGAGATTTAATTTGAAAATCCTGTAATACTTTGCCCGACACGGGAATCGTACTTACCGTCCCGTTTTCGAGAACTTTGCGAGAATTTGAATAGTTGAGTCGGCGACGACGTGATGGCCGTTCGGACTGTTCGAGTGGTGTGCGAGAGCGAAACAACGTAAGCGTAACACATGATTTACAGTTTATATTTATTTGTTCTTGATGTGCGTAATCCTTACTATCCTTACTAATATTATAAATCTGAAAGTTAGTTTGTTTGGTTGTTTGTTCCACCATCACGCCGTAACTACTCAACCGATTGCTTTGAATTTTTGCAGGCGTAAAGTTAGACGTCCGGATTAAATAATAGGGTACTTTTAATCCGGAAAAAAATTATATTCCCAAGGAAAAACAAAAGTATGTCACATAGGCTACTTTTTATTCTTTTGTGATGCGAGCGAAGCCGCGGGTAAAAGCTAGTTTGGTTTTATAAATCGCTAAAAACTACATTCATAAGGTTGAAGTGGGGTATACCTTATTGTAGTTAGTAGTTAGTGGGTCAGATTAAAGAGCACCGTGAAACGAGACAGACGTATTGTTTTATTTTACACTAGCTCCCC